AAAAAAGAACAGCTGTTTTTAGTTCATAGAAATAACATATAAATTAAAAAACTAAAAAATTTGCTCAAAAACTAGAGAAGAAAATTTTCTGAAAACAGTTTTAAAAGAGACGTTTCTACGACTGTCGGCACTGTACCTGATATATATATGATGAGAGAGATAAACAGTGTTTAGCACAGATTAAAACTAACACCAGTGCTATTAAAGATCGATTGGGAAAAACAGGTAAAATCCACCCGAAAAGTGCTATCGCAAATCACATGTTAAACTTGTCTGCCCTTCCTCTCAATTATATAATACACGATTTTAGGCAACGAGGCGAAAAGCAGTCAAATTCAATAGTTTTCATATTCAACATGTTGTATTATAAAATAGGGGACCACCTTCTACCAGTTACAGAATTTGTACTGTTTCTGTAGCTTTTCATGAATTAGTTTTGCTTTTGGTTTTGAAGGAATAATGTAGTTTCCTGACGCGCCTCCTATGATTAGCAATGAATCTCATTGTAAGAACAGATATAAGCAGATTTAGTTTCTTTTTCGTTTTAATATTTAATTTTGAACCGATTTATTTATTAATTAAACCGATATTATATAACATTTTAGAGGCATCGCAGCATAATTTTAAATTCAAGTTTGGACTTCGTTTGATTTTGGAAAGAAGATTTAAAAAAATTGCTACATTTTGGAGGCAGATAGTTTTATTTCATAGTTGCTGTTCGAAAAATTTTGCCACAAAAGCATTAAACTTTTATAATTTGAAAACCGGTATTAAAAGAAAATCACCTATGCACGCTCAGTTATTTATGTATTTTTATGAGAATACTGAGGGAGTGCCGAAATTATATGCTCTTGTCAAAATATCAAACAGGAGCCCTTTTTGAAAGCATATAATATGGAGTGATCTAACCAAACCCAAAGCAAGCGAAGTCTACCGTGCCCGGTTTGGTTTATCTTGGGTCATTTTATATACTATCTCCTTAGAATTCAAGTGTTTTTTACTTGCTCTGAGTTCGACCTATCTTGTGCCACTACGTAAAACCTGCAGCTGTAAGTAATTTCAGCTTTGAAAATAGAATTTGAAAACTGTTTTGTAGGCTTTGGCGCAAATGAAGAAAATGAACAGAATATGCCATTTTAAAATGTAACTTTAACAATAAATTTTATTAATATTATTATACCTACACGAAATCTTTTCATATAAAATATATAATAAAAATATAAAATATTTTGTAACTCATCCGATATTTTGAAAATTTAGATGCTTGGCTATATGACCTTTGCTAAAGCAACAATAAATTATTTGTTAGCATTTAGTTCTTCGATGTTTTCTTTTGCTACATATGACCCTATTTTAGAAAATATGGTGACCATTGTTCAAAAGAATTAAAGGTGGCGTACTTTGTACGTACTGCAAGATATAAAATATATATTTGAATTGCAAATTTCAAGACCCACATAGTGAAGTGTGACGCAGTGGTAAGGTTGCATCATATTCCCTGAGAACCCCGTAGCAAAATTTAACAAACAGACGAAATATGGAAACGGAGAAATCGATCTCATACCAATGCTATTACAAATTAAGGTTTCTTTCTTAATTTCTGAATCGAAATAATGTTTTAATCAAATTTACCTTTTTTAACTATACTATGTGACAATGAAAATACAACATTTTAAACCCGTGCGCAGAAAGTGATGAAAATCGGCAAAAAGAGAGACACCGCAACGAACACCGCAACGAACAGTGCATGATGTTTATTACAATATAATACAGAGCGACTACATAGAATGCTCAGTAAGTTGTAGAACCACCGCTGGCGACGATAGAGGCAGCAACGCTTCTAGGTACAGACGCAGAGGGCGAATTATCTCTTGAGGGATAGATGTCAGTTTCTATCAACTATTTGCCACAATTTGTGTTCTGAATGCGGCGGTAGCAACGAACGCGAGCAACGTCCAATTATATCCCAGACATATTCGATGGGTGAGAGATCCGGAGAGATAGGTGGCCAGGGAAGTACCTTACAGGGTACGTAGGATGCTTTTGAAAGCGATGGTGCACCAAACATGGAGGTGCATTGTAGCGTTTTCCCAGATGTTGGCGAATTGATCCTATCACGATATCGCCGTTAGATTCATACACGGTGAGTGAGCTTAAACAAAAGCATGACTCGTAGGAAAACACCACTTTATGTCACTCCGAAGTCCACGTGGCTTACCTTGACACCATCGCAAAAGGCGGCATCTAGCAGCCCAGCTGCTAACCAGCAAATAATGGTCCTAGTAGATATGAAACCATCAAGAGTGTCCTGCATCTGCAGCAAAATGTCGACGGAAGAGGCCAGTGGGGTCACAACCACATGATTGCTGATGCGTCGGCCCACGCGTGCTAAAGTCACTGCCTTTTCGTGGCAGCCCCGCCACCCTTGGAACATGCCACATTCTCTTTCAACAGCTAGCTCCCTTCGCCACAGCCGGTGCACTGTAGACGCCTACAGATACCCATACGCTGCTATTCGTCGCAAGGACTATCCCGCTGTTCTCAATGCGATCACTCCTAGTGTACTCATCCGCTTGCTGGAAGGACTTGAATTATCAACGTCCTGGCATTTTTCGTACTATCGCATCCTCTGTGATAGAAAATCAGTTTGCAAAACGTTAATCTGCCTGATGAGGAAGCGCAACTATTGTCGATTCTGCAGATTTCTTCTCTTATATCTTGCCTTCCAGGCGCAAGCATGCAACGCGTTTCGCATTATTTGCATAACTCGGTACACTGAGTCTGCCTACAATTTGCATATTCTTCGGAGCATAAGTTCATGATGTTGCATTTTCTCTGCCACTTAGTGTATTTGTGTGGCATTACAAAATTCTGTTCCGATTGAGAAAGCTTTCGTCACCTTTCTTCTTTTATTAAAACACAAAAAGAGACTTAACCCGATAACTAATTATTAAGTTCTAATAAAAGTTTTCTATCAAATGCGTCATTTTAGAGAAGTGACCCGAGAAAAAGTGTACTTTGGAAAACTGGTATATTTTTAAGCCCTAGAAATTATGATTTCGTTATTAGCTTAAATAAGTATGCACCACGTCCTTACGAAGTAAAACTTATAGACATGATCACGCTTTGGCTACTGATGCACAGGGAATGGAAGTACCGTAGGCGCCGCTTAATGTGATCGCAGTTAGTCTTAGAATTCGGATATTGCTATCGAACTGCCGAAGCCCCGCTCATTTGGATATGAAAACATGGAAATACATCACTTATAGTGATCAACAAGTCGGTTAATTTCATCAAAATATTATAGAATAAATATTTTAATCTGCAGTAAACTCGACAAATAATCTATGAATTCGCCAACTAAAGTCGAAATGTAACATAGAAGTTGCCAGATATCACAGACATATCTTCGAGTACGAGATTAAATATCTAAGCAGCTTGATTTTGATCTGAAGCCACCATGTCTACATGATTGCCTTAGATCAAAATCAAGTTTGTCAAAATAAAGTCAACAATGGGCAAACACTGGACTTAAATCAAACATGATCAAAACTGAGCTAAGATCTAATGGACTAAGTTGAGTGGAATTCAAGATGATCTTGCTTTTTCTTGCCAAAATATTTCTTCGCTTGTGTTAATCGGTATACTTTTAGGAATATTCTGTTTAGAAAACACTCATTATTTTATTTAATAATCTCTCACTGATTAACAATTTTGCAATTTAAAAGCATTAAACATAGCATTACTTATTTAAATCTTTATCATTTTTAATAATAATGTGTCTGATATAAATTAAAAGAGCATTTAATTTATAGCATATCTGTGATGATTTTATGAACATTTAAAATTTTGTAGTAAATATGGAAAGATATTTTCACTACCATAGGAAATAAATGATGTTTTTTAATTACTGCAGTTTTGAGAATAAAGGAGATTGGATTGGATTGGATTATTCAATTATGGCAAAGCACACGAGGGCTATCTGCCTAAAGGGAGGGATACCTTCGTGGAGGACTTTCTAAGGAAACTGACTCGTATACACGTTACACATGAGGAAATTCACGAAAACACCCGTGCAGCCAGCCCGTTCGCGGGATTCGAACCTCGGACCGAACTACCAGTGTTCAGCGTCTTTACCGCTCGGCCGCTGGTGTGTTCGAGAATAAAGGAGAAGACATTCAGTGCAATATCCCAGATAAAGGCTTCATTTACAGAATTAGCAAATTAAATTAAGACGGTAGTTCAGATTTAAACAAAGTGTACAGAATCTTTTTATTTGTTTATTTACTTATTGTAAATTTTTAGAGTAGATTACTTTTTAAAATTTTTAATTAATTATAATCTGATAATTGAACATTATATTTAAATTTTTCTATTAATTAATCTTTATGATGACGATACTACGTTGGAAATCTTTATGTTTCTTCGCAGTTGTAATACTTACTTTTTGATCTTTAAGGTATCAAAATACTGCTTTATTTATGGCACATTTCAGAAAAGGTCAAAATTGTCTTTTCATCTTTAGCAGTTCTTTTTTCGACATTCTATTTATTTTCTAAAACCCGAAAGGATTATTATATGAAGTATAGCAGAAATATTATGACTCCTAAAAATTCATCGATCACTATATGTTACAGAATTTTGCTTGAGGGAAATTAGGTAAGACTGCTTAACACTATCGTTTTTGAAAACCGCAGATTTTTTTTTTTTTGTTTTTTTTTTTTTTTTTTTTGTAAATTAAAATAAGTATGTTTTATGTGTCTTTCATATCTAGGAACAGCTCTTAAAGCTTCAAGGGCATATACATCTTGAATTTATAAGGAAATGAAGTCATTGGTGAAGAAGCATCAGTTGCTTTCCTGCTATGCCATAAATCATTATGACATGGCGTTCTGAATTTCGTCCTTTATTTATCTGTTCTTTTAAAATGTTAAAGTATATGTGACTTTGAAGGAAAATATTTTAAGTGATTTTTCTTTTCTTTCTTTTTCCATTTACAGGCTTTTATCTTCCGAGTGGTAAAGGGTCCTTTCATTGAAGAATTTTATCAGTGCGTAACATATGGATTCTACACTGAAGAGTGGCAAGAGCAACTCTACACTATGGCTAGTTTGGTTCTCATGTTCTTGTTACCGCTGTTCATTCTCACATTTACATACGTTTGCACATTTTATACTATTGCAAGTAAGTAAACTCACATCATATTTACATTCTGAATCATGCATTGTGTACAATGCGATGCATTATACAGAATGTTTCAAAACCTGCAAAATGATTCAAAGTAAATATTTATTGAACATAGATCTATGATTCTGGTTTATTGTTTTGGTTTGGTTTAGCTGATTATGGAAAAGCACACGAGGAATAGCTGCCTAAGGGAAGGGCTGCCTTCGTGGAGGACTTAAAGCAAACTGGCATGTATACGCATTACACAAGAAGAAAGCAACGAAAACGTCCATGCAGCCAGTCCGTTCTCTTGGAATCGAACCCAAGTTGGAATTACCAGTGTTCAGCAATTTTACCGCTAGGTCATTGGAGGGTGTTTTTGGTTTAATACATGTTTAAAATAAGATAGTGAAATGTAAAATGCTTTCCGTCTATCACTGTCTTAAAAGTGAAAAGTCTTCCGTCTATTACTGTCTTAAATGTGAAAGATCAAAAAAGTGCATTTTACAACTGAATCAGTCTTTCCCTAAGAAAACCACCAGTACTCTGATACCTGACACCTACTACCAGATTTATGATAACAGACTAATATTTCGAAGAAGAGTAAAGATATTAAAGGTATTTTAAATTGAAAACTTTTATAAAAATCACAAAAAATACTTCTGCTACAGTTATGTAAAATGTGAATTGGAAATAAGTTTTATCAAGTATAACAAAGCTGAAAATATTAATAAAATTTATCCATTGGATATATGTAAATTAAAGCTATTTTAATTTGTATTATTTAGATCTATTACTAATAAGTATAATAAAAATTTAAATTAGTATAAGGACACTGTATTTATTGCTTTTAATTCGCACAGTTTTTTTAATCCGTATCTAAGAGAATAATTAAATCTGTAAATCTGAAAGATAAAACATATTTTTTGTTTTCAATGGCAACACTCTGAGATTCGATTATATGCGAGAATTCAAAATTAAAAACATCGCGGTTTTGCAAAGCTAATGTGCCTCATGGTTACGCTTTCCTTGTCGGAGTTCCATATAGCTTCTGGTTAGTTGGTAAAGTATCGTTTGTATTCGAAAGCCGAAAATTAGTTAATGTCTACGCGAAATCTGTCTTATCAAGATCATTATTGCTGAAAGTTTTATTCTGTAGAAATAGTGGGCTATTTTACTATGTCATTTCCTGTTAATTAACATTTGCTGTTAATTAGCTATTATTTTTACGGCGCGAGACACTTGTATTACGCAGACATGAGAAAAAATTGTGGTTAAACACAAGAATTATGTGTTTTTTACAAAGCGTTTACCTGTTTTATCTGCTTTGAGAAGATGTCTAAGAAGTCTCATTATGTTACTATTTATGGATATAATAAAATCGCAAATGCTAGTAAAATGTCTAAAAACTTACAGATTAGTACTGAGTGATGTAGGTATAAAGCCAATAAAATAGCCGACAGTTTAGCAAAAAAGAGGCCATATTCGCAAGTCGTTTTCAAAGCAGTTTTCCCAAAAGATATTGTCGTAAATATTAGGAAAGATACTTTGCTTGATGTTGAGGAAAAGTGTCCTGATATAACTGCTAAATGGCAGATATACCAAGACACTTGTGCACTTACGTATAAATGTTAGCTATACTAAGAAATGCATTTCCATCTGAAAAACGATATAACTATTGCTCGATGTAGAGCAAAATGTTTGATAACCAACAGCTTAGAGGACAGAATAAAAGTAACGACTTCTACGAAATGCTCGTTTTATCAGTAGAATGATATTGAAGATCATTTTATTTTATCCTACTGGGATGTAGAATAACCTTCGTATAAAAGTTTCAGAATTAACAGGATGTTGCGTGACAAAAGACTATAACACTGTAATGTCTGCGAAAGTAAGATTTAAAACGAGGCATAGAAGTTTTCGGGCAATTTTCTGTTGCGTCTGGTACGTTCTAAGCATTATAATGGTTACTGAAGTCGTCGTTTTTTAATATCTCTTTCTCGAGTAAGTAGTTAGAACTAAGTACCAAGCTGGAGATTAGAACTGACGAGTCTGCATGATATGCAAACGGCATAGAATGCGAAATCAGCTGAGGCTCCAAGCAGGATCTGAGAATTTATTGTGTTTTTATATCTAAACATGTCAAGCATTTTTATGAAGTAAACAGAATATTAAAAGAAAAACTCGTGGATTATTCGAGATAGTGGTGATCTTGTTCCACTGTAGCCTACAGCTGAAAATCTATAACTAAATAAATAATAAATAACTTCTTTTGTTATGTGCAGTGGTAACACATTATTTTAAAGCCTCTCAAATGATTAATTAATAATAGAATGGTTAAATTTGAAAAATAAATTAAAGACATTGTACTTGGACGATTGGCAACAATCTAAGAATCCATTATGCCCAAAGATACATGAAAGGCAAATTAAAGGCGTTAAGTTTCCCACTGTGGAAACACTTGACAAACGTTGCTTCTAGTTTTTTCTTTCTTCAGTTTCGCTTGGGCAGGATTTTATGTGTTAAGTGAAGGAAATACACTTATTTTAGAGCTTAATACTTCTTTTCATATTTTCAAAATCACCTGAGATGTCGCTAATCAAATTTTTTTTGGGACCATATGCAATTCTTGCCACTGAAGGTTACCCATTTAAACGTTTAATACAAATTTTTAAAAAAGATAGTTTTTATGACAAAAAGGAAGGAGTAAATAACTAGAAACTGCTATAGTTCCATTCGTAAAAATATTGAAACTCGAAGTTATACTAATTTGCGAAGTTTACTTAATGAAATAAGCACTTAAACTTCATTAAACGAATGCATTTTAGAAATATTTCTGTATTAATGTTCACGATTTAATACTTGTAAAGCTAGGCTGACTTTACATTTGACTTATTAGTAGTTTAAAAATTAGACAAAAACGCAACCTTAGTTTGGACGATGAGCTACTAGAAAATCTTCTTAACAAGCGAAAAAGAAATTTTTGCCCCAAAGTAACGATAAAGATTATTTAAAAAAATTATTTTCTTAAACATGCATTAAATTAGAGCTCTTCAATTTCAAAATATGCAAATTTTAGCAGTTCCCGTATTGAAGCTACTCTTAGCAACAGTTAGGTTTACGCTACTTAAATACGGCAGAATACTCTAAGTTTATTTGCGTGAGGAGAGGAATATCTTAGTGCAGGTCTTTGTACCGGAGATCGGCTAACATTCACGCTACACATGGGAAAAACCAAGAAAATCAAAGACGCAGCCATCCCGGTCGCATGGAATCGAACTCCCGGTATTCATAGTAGTGAAAAAAGCCATCATATGAAAATGTTTTACAAATCATTCATCATAGCTGCCTGCGTGTCACAAAATGACCCAAAACACTGTGCGATAAAGTAGATTTGGAGCTTGTGATTAAAACACTTCTTATGGAGCCAAGTCGGTGCTGTACACTGGATGAAGAAGCGTTAGGACATTTTTTAAACCCAAAATCTCCTCAAAGGTACAGAAATGGGACTTAGCACATTATTGTGGTGAAGGAACCATGTGCTACAATTTCTCGACGACCGCGCACAACCGCACTTGCAAGTACTTGTATTTATACGAGTTACTTTGTTCTCATTTCTTGAAGCCTTCCATGTGCAATGTTCGTCCTCAGCTTTCTCTCTTCCATGAACGCAACTAGGACTAAAAAATATTGGACATCCTTATAACTGCCGTTGGTTTGGTAATTTCAATGTTTCAGAATTAGATTCCTGAGTTTCGCACAAAATTTTATCGCTTAACGCTGCTTCAAACTTTTCTGCTGCTTCGCCCGTGACAAAACACAGGAACTGCTCATTGCGCTAACGATGAGTGCAAAGACGTGGAGTCAACTGAGAAAGATTAAACTGCATTCTAGGATCCTCTTTTATTTGCCTCGATCCCTATATTTTCTTAGGAGCCTTTGTACACTATATACAGTGTTCTATAAAAAATCATTTCTTATTACTTTTGGGACAAAAAGACTCGATTTAACATCATACTGCAGTTTCTTTTGCCTTCGATCTAAATCTTAAGCTGCAAGAATAGTGTATTAGATATTGTACACTGAATGAAATATATTCACAGCTAGCTTTCTGTTTACTCTTAATTACCCTAGATTGTTACTGTCCAGAAGGTAATTTGTGGGCATGAATTAAGCTATTTAAGTCTTTTGTATAATGACACAAAAGAAACTGAACGAAACGTTTCACATTACGGGAAAAAAAACTCTAAAATCTCTATTTTATGCACAATAGATGGCAGAAAAATTTATGTTAATCGGATTCCAGGTACTCTTAGCAGGAAGTTCATATCATACATGAATGATGATTGAAGCGGTTTTACAAAAGAGAGCTTAAAAGACTATAAGAATAGTGAGAATTCACTATTCACACTTCTAGGCAGCAACATAACAAAGCCTTTTCTATCATTGCCTGACAACAATGGAAAATGAAATATGAGTGCTGTAAATTTTTCTACAGTTCCTTTGAAACCTTTTTATTTCATGTTAAACTATTCTAAAAATTCATTTTATTATAATATATTCAGGGAAATGTAAGACCAGACCATGAATTATAACACAGGCAGAGATTTACATGAAACGATTAAGATACATCTTAAGAGTTTTGGATAGGCCTGAATTCTTACTAGAAAATCTTATTTATTAAATAAGTGATTTTTTTTGTTCTAGGTTTCTTTTGATTTTCTATGCGTCTAGTAAATTTTAGATACTTAAAAGAAAGTTGAAGAAATCCTTAAAAGAAATTTAAAAAAATTATCTTAGGATTATCTATAGATTAAATTCAAATAGCCCTTTATAAAGGAAGGATTAATAAAATATATTAAGCAAATTGATTAAGAAACTATGTACTAAACTAAGAATGAAAAGGAAAGATGAATGAATAATTGGGAAATCTCTATCTGTTTATTATTTCATAAATATTGTGGAACAATAAGTTTTGAATTAAATAAAAATGCCAGAATATATTTTTTGATTATTCTGATTCATATTGCCATTTGATTTACTGCAAAATTTTAATCAAAATTTTTAATTACTTTTTTATTACTATTTACGCTATTACTGATTTTAGCCAGTGCTCGAATTTTAAATTTCATAATAGCTGAACCATTAGATGATTTTATATAACTTATTTTACTCTCTATGCGCAATATTTTGCCTTAAATAATTATGAGAAGAAAATAAGTACTTAATATTTTAAAACTAATCTCTATGTATTATATGAAACACATAAAGCCAAAGGACGGAAAATAATATAATATTTAGATAATTATAATCTGTATAAAGTATCTGATTGAAAAAGCTGAGTTATTTCAAAACGACTACACACAGCCGAAAATAGCTAAATAGGTATGCAATTATTATTAAAAATTTTATTTGCATAACGTTATTACCCATATTTGATTTTAGCAGTGCTAAATGTGTATGTATTCCATGCTGATGATTTTTTAAGTTCTGGTTTTATTAATTAATATCATGAATTGAAACAGTTTGATACTAAATGATTTAAAGTGGTGCTACCATTTTTACAACGTTCTTAATTGTCTTAAAATTTTCCTTGCACTTCATAGTGCATATAATGTTGATTTCTTTCACTTTACATTTCAATGCTAGGTGATTAGGAATTAATGAATCACTTAGAATTCATTGTTAAAGTGATACCACGTTATTTCACAACCCTTTTATTGCATTAAAGACTTTCTTGAGTTTCAAAGTGCATTTAATGTTATTCTCGTCTTACATTTTCATACCAGATGATTAGGAATTAATGAATCACATAGAACACATTGTTAAAGCATAAAGTGATGCCATATTTTTTACAACGTTCTTTATTGAAGTTTTCCTTGCATTTCATAATGCATATTGAAGTTTTTTCAATTGAACTAAAAGTTAGAAACGGATAAGATAGACTACCTGCATCAACTACTATGAAACTAAATAGTACTCTTATCTTTTTTTATTCTTAGTGCAAGTTTTGAAAAATGCAATTCTATTTTAAGAGATATTTCTTTCTCAAAGAAACCAGAAAGCATATTCGGCATATTTTGCTTAATAAGTGCAATTAAATGATTATTAATATTAATGCCGCCCGCGAAGTGCTAATTTAAAATTGGGGCGGAACTGAGCATAAAGTCCGACTGTCACCAGTATGGTACTCAAGGTTCTGGCCAAGGCCTTGTACTCCTTGTCACGATAATATTTCATGAGCTTGTTCTGATTACATCAGACAAGTGAGATTAAGAACAAGAGCAATACAAAGAAGTGAGATACTGCCATTAAAAAACTGAATCTTCAAACTGAGCAACAATACGAATAAGATTCTCATTTATTACTTCATACTGCTCGTCATTTCCAACGTTTCAACAATTTTTATCGATATTGCTACAGTAAGTCTTTTCACGAAATTTTCTTTTCTACATATTTGTTATAGACAGTCTTTTTTTCTTTTTTCATATTCGATGGCAATACTGTTGCACTGAAATCATGGTTCTCTTAATCTAATCTGACGTTTTTCAGCTCCCGACGTACTACCTACACATTATTGCAGTGAAGTCATTACTGTATTGGCTGATGACATAAACTTGTGTATGTGATTCTTATTCGACATATACACTGCTGGCCGTTAAAATTGCAACACCATGAAGGAAAGCAAATACAAAAAAGATATTTATTGTACGTAATTATTATGGCATGAAGATGAAATGATTAAATTTGTAAGCAGTTTGGTATTTACAGGGATGCGAAATTAGTAGAAACAGCTGCCACCCCTGGCAGCTAAAACGGCCCTTACCCGATTAGGCATGGAGTCGAACTCGGGTTTGGATGACAGAAATGAGCAACTCGTTCCATGCTGCTTCAAGTCCATGCCACACTTCATCATCCGTATTAGCTGGAGAGAGGTGGCGAGCCAGTCTCTTAGCAACCCATGACCAGATGTTTTCAATGGGTGACAGATCTGGAGACCATGCAGACCAGGGCAGCAATAGAATACCCTGTGTATCCAGGAAGGTCAGAAAACGACGTGCAACTTGTGGTCTTGCATTATCTTATTGGAAGATGGCGTTTGGCAGGCCTCGAAGATAGAGCTGGACCACTGGACGTAAGATTTCAGAAATGTACCATGATCTTCGTTCACATTACCGTTGATACGAACTAGAGATCTGCGTTTCCTGTACCCAATAGTCTAACCATCACACTAGATGCAGGGCCCCTATGCCAATATCGAATGCAAGCAGGCGTCGTGCGGCCTCATCGGACCTTCCAGATGCGTATACGGCCATCAGAATACAGCATTCAGAACTGGGACTAGTCTAAAAAAAACGACATTGTTCCACTCCTGTATCCAGCTTTGTCGTTCGGTGCACCAGAGTCGCCGTCTCTCTCTATAATGCATTCTCAAGGGAAGCTGAAGTAATGGTCGCTCTGCTGATAGTCCATGCTGCTGCAAACATTAACGCACCGTACGAGCGGATACCGGGCGTGCTGCAAACATGCCCATTTCCTGACTAATGGTCAGTAATGTGGTTGTACGGTTTTGCTGGGCTGACCTCAAAATATGTCAGTCCTTTCTGGCGTTAGTCGCGGCAGGGCGTTGAAATCCTGCATGCCGTTCAGTATGACCCTCAGCAACCCACTCATTCCATATTAACATGATAGTGGTTGAATATTGACGAATTCGACGGGCGAAATCACGGAACGATTATCCACACTCTCTATAGGCAAAAATCTTGCCTCTATCGAATTCTGACACCTGCTGGTAAGCATTTCTTCTTATTATTCGAGGAATAACACGATATTCTGAGCAAGCTTCGACCTTACAAAACGCTTTCTGAATGAGAAATCCACTACACAATTTTTCTTTTAAGCAGTGCTTCAGATGTCGTTTCTCTCTCCTGCGTCGTCTAAATGGGCTGAAATAATAATCATTTGCATGTTCCTATTTCTTCTTCCTTTCATGAGATTTTGACGTTAGTCAGATCGTTCCTTTCTGGTGTTGCAATTTTAATGGCCAACAGTGTAATAATTAAATCTCAGGTTTAACATGCCCTTCTCTATTTTCTGCAGTAATATATAGTCACATACTGCATTTACTGCAAATATGTAGCCGCAGTTCTGACTATGCTACTAGCCGTAGTTAACTTCAATTAAAAGTCTTTCAGGGAATATTTCATTCCTGCAGTAAACCCTGTGATGAATGAATTAATACAGAACAGGTTAGATTCTATTTTAATTTAGCTTAGTTTTCAAAATTTGCTTGGTCTTGCTTGATTTATTTTTTATAAACCAAGCATAATGATTAAACTTAAATAAGCTGATATAAAATAAATCAACTACATCCGTTATAAAAAAACAAGTTCTGTAATATGAAAAATTAGTTTCTAATTTTGATAAAAGAACTCGAGCACTGGCTATATAAATGTAGTATTAATCCTTTTTAACTGCATATTTTCTCATCGTATTTAATTTTTTTCCCAGAAAAAGAACATTCCTTCTCAGATCGCAACACGGTCATGGATACCGCACGTCGTAATCTGCTGAGGAAAGCAAAAATGAAAGCTTTGATGATTACGGTAGTTATTATGGTAGTTTTCATCATTTGTTGGGCACCCTACTACAGCACGATGATAATTTTCATCTTCCTGAAACCTGACGAACAATTAAGCCAGGACTTGCAGTCCGCTGTTTTCTTCTTCGGGAGTTCAACTGCTATGATCAATCCATTAATTTATGGTGCTTTTCATTTAGTAAAGAGACCTGGCAAGAAGAAGTTGCCCACCAACAGCAGTGCCTCTTCAAAGGCTGAGAACACCGTTATGTTGGTCGCCTATCGAAGAAGCAGAGGAGTTGCCAACAAAGTACGTCATGTGCTTCCTTCTTACCACACTGATACAGCTCTTGATGAAAATCTGAAGATGGTACAAAAAAACAGACGTTTTTCCAAGAGTCTGTACTCTTTGCCTTCTTGGGTGGGGCATTGCGAAAAAAATCAAGAACATAGTTTGTGAACTATAATTCAAAACAAATATCCTGTTAACATAACTTAAATTTATTACCATTTCGTACACACAAAAATTATGAAATTTACGAGAGTAAGTTTTTGAAGTAATATGATTGAACTTCGATAAGCAAAAATTGAATGGTGCAGAAAAAAGTCCGAGTTAACGAGACTTTGGCAAACTTCTCCTAAAAACATCTATTGTACAGTAACATGTTTATCATATTATGTAACTGTGCACAGAATTTATTAATCATGAAAATTACTTTCGAAAATGAGAAATGTTGAAATCGAATTAAAAACAAAATGTTTAACATTTAATCGTACGATTTTTTTTATTGAAAATTTAAATCCTTGTGCACCACATAGTATTACACAAGGCTTACAGAGGTAAGTAAAAAAAAAACAAATACAACAACACAACACAAAATAAAATAAACTTACAAATTCACAGATGATACGTAAGAGATAAATTTACAGAAGAAAGAGAAAGCCATTTTATGTTGGACAAATACATGAAGAGGGGCAGGAAATGTAATATTCACAGAGTTTAACCTAGAAATGAGTTCCTTTCGTCCTTCCTTAAGCTTTGAACAATAGAACAACAAATGTTCGACATTTTGCTTTCCCCCCCGAAAGTGCATGAACACAAGTCTGTACTAGATAATCTAAATCTCTTCAGATATGAATTGAATTTACCATGTCCAGTTAAAAATTGAGTAAATTCGAAATTTCAGAAAAAGTGTTTATTATTCAGTCTGTGAGGAATGGAAGGAAAATATAGTTTAGTCAAAAGAGGCAGTAGTAGAATTCCTGTATAGTTCATTCCACTCGAGTATTGTATCATCCCTACTTTTGTTCTTGTAAAATGACTTAGGAAGTATCATTGGAGTAATTACTTGAAGATGTGTAACTTGTTTTGCCAAACAATCAGCCCTTTCATTTCCTATATTGCCAGTGTGGCCACGTACATAAGAAAAGATAACATCAACACCTTTATTATTAAGGTCTTTAAGAAGAGCATGGGAAGTCACAATTAATTTATTATATGAGAAGATATTCCTAAGAGAAAATAAGGATGAAAGAGAATCAGTGCGAATAAGAAATTTAGCACTTAGCGAACAGTTGTTAGATATCCACTTAATTGACTCACCAATGCACAGTAATTCGGCTTGGAAAACACTGCATTCATTGGGAATTCTAAAGAGTTTGTATTCCAGTTCAGAACCATTATGGAAAACGACATAAGCTAATCCAACTCGATTATTAATTTTACTGCCATCTGTATAACACACAACAGGGAAATTATCATCAACAGAATTGTCATAAATGATAGTTTGAATTGGCAAACGATAGGCAGGATGAGGAAGATCTTGAAACAACACCTTGGCATCGAACATAAATTTGCTGATGGTATCTTTAAACTTTTTGTCATTCAAAACACGAAGGTCAATCGGAGGAAATCCTGAAATTGCGAAACAGGCTTCATAGCTAATTGTTCTGTAGCCACGCACAACTCTTAGTAAAATTCTTTTTTGAATTCTGCTAAGTATACGGGAATTAATCTTCTTTTCTAAAGCTGTTCGCCACACTCTAGAAGCATAGCAAATAAAGGGGACAATACCCTGCTTATAAATCATATCAATAACATTAGATTTTAAACCAAAAGTATTGCAAGAGACACGTTTAAGTCTTCTAAGTATATTTTCACACTTATTGAATAAATACATAATATGATTTTTCCAACAAAACTTATGATCAAGAATAACGCCTAAATATTTAATTTCATTCACCGTTTCGAGTAAGGTATTATCCAAGTACAGTTGTTGGTTTGTCCAAGTACAGTTGTTGGTTTGTATAGCTGACATGCTTTCTTTTAATTATCATAATTTTAGATTTATTAGGATTGAATTCCAATTTCTGTTCTCTGGACCAATTGGAAATAAAATTAAGGGTGTTTTGAGCCGTATTAAAGAGAGTAATGGGACACTTATCTTGAAAGCAAATTAGTAGATCATCAGCAAAAGCAATTGTTTTACAACTCGGACAATGTGAGAGTCTATTGAGTAGATCATTCATAATTAAATTCCACGATAAAGGTCCGGAAACCGAGCCTTAAGGGCAACCTCTTTCCAAAATGCGGGAGGAAGAAACGTGGCCAAGGGAGAGCAATGCAGATCTGTCATGCAGAAAATCTTTAATAAGGTGGTAAATATTACACGGAATACCAGCTTTCCTTAAAAAAAAAAAAAAAAAAAAAAAAAAAAAAAAAAAAGTATCCCAGGCCAGTATCCCAGGCCCCAGGGTGTCGAAACACCTTTGATATCAAGAAACACTAAAACTGTGAGTAAATTTCTCTTCTTACCTTCGTCCACTATGTCTTTTAAGTACAAAAGAGCATCTTCACAACTCTTATGAGGAGTAAACCAACTGTGCTTTATTTAGCAGTTTTTTATTATGCAAGAACCAGGTAATTCTATTAACAAACAGCTTTTCTAGGCATTTTCCTAAACTGGGAAGAAGACTATGCATCTCAAGTTATCTAAATGCGGGATACGAGGACCACTATTCTTAGGGATTAAAACGACATTCGCTGTTTTACAGCAACGAGGAATGAACCAAGCCTCAGACAAGTATTGAAGATTTTGGAGAATAAATTTGGAAACATTCTATGAACTTGCTTCAAATTTCGTTGAAATAGCATCAAACCAGGAGCTTTATTGCATTTAGGTTTTTCTATAACACTATTAATTTCTGACATAGTAAATGGAGGATCTGGATTAGCAACATAATTTAACGAAGCTTCAGCCCTAATCATCTATGAAACTAATTATCCGTGCTAAAATGGTCCGTGGGAAAGCTTCTTGAAGAACCTTATTAGCAGTTTCTTCAAGTGTGTACATTACCAGATGGAGATATTCCACTGACTTCAATTCCTTTCATAAAATTTTTCTTTATACCATTCGTATATATTTTTTTCCAAACATTCCTTTCATTTATACTCATTAGGAATTATCTCCAAGACTTAAGCTTTGCATCCTGGAGCTTTAAACTGTAACTATGCCTGAAGTGAAGATATTTTTGTTTATATATCTCTCTAAGAGTAGAGTTACGATTTCATTGAAACCTACGTCTAGCAGAGTTAACCTGTTTTCTCATACATTCGATTTCAGTAGTCCACCAAGGTACCTTATGAACCCTTGACTTTTTTAGAGGCATGGAAGCCTTGGATGCGTTATAGAGAATCGAGACAAAATTTTCTAGTCGAGAGTTTAATGCATGCTTATCCGTACAGCACTCACTAAACTGCGAAAACTCATCAATCGACTGCTTACATGTATTGTAAAAAATATTCCAGTTAGCTTTACAATGAAGACAATTTTGCTGTTTTTTCTGTCATAGAGAGTGTTATTAGAAGCTATAGATAGTTCAAACTCAATCGCACAGTGATCAGAAAGGGATTCATAATCTGGTTGACACCAACACAAAATATCTGCAGGAAGAACAGATCCCACAACCGTAATGTCAATATAGCTTGAACCTTGAGTACTACAGAAAGTAGGACCACAGTCTTCGTTGATAACGAACAGATTATTCATACTTAAAAATACACGAAGTTTAACACCTCGGGAATCTGAAGCTGGACTATGCCAAATTTCAGATTTACTGTTGGTATCCATAGCCCAGATCAATCTGTTACAATTTTTTGAAGCTAATGCTACATTAATTTTATGCAAATCTAAGTCAATATTTCTGTTAGGTTCAAAATAATGAGAAAAAAAGATAAAATCATGAGTATTGAGAGTAACAGGAAGAAACACCATATTATAATAAGGATTATTAATATCAAGCAGAGTAGACAGCTTTTGATTCCGTACAATAATATCAGCTTTAATGGTATCACTATCAGCATCAAAATAAACCCGGTAAGATGAAGGCAAGTTGGGAAGAGAGCGTTTATAAGAGTGAGGCTCCTGAACAATAGCGATATCAATGTTAGAATTTTCCATATTTAAAACAAGCTTTTTGAGTAGCCTTTTTCGAACGATGAAGATTAAGTTGAATAGTTTTAAGAACAGAAATGGGAAAGTTAGCCATCATTAATTTGAAAAATAGTTCTATTCTTCATAAAAATATGAGAAGGACAATTTTCGGAGAAAGGCTTATGCTTGACATCAATTTTCTTGCCAATAGCCTTGATTTTGCTATTGTAACGAATGCAATTTACAAAAGCTTGGGTTTCTTGAGTTTGGCAGTGCTCACTTTTATGTTCTTTTACACATTTAAGCAAGCAACAGAATTTCTGCAGTTAGCTCCTTTGTGATTATAGCCTAGACATTTAAAGCATCTATTTATTATGATGAACTCCTGTACTTTACAAGCCGACCCTTCAAAATGCAAGTACACAAAAGATAGGCATTTTCTGTATAGCTCGGGTTTCATTTCGACAACAATATGCTTTGAGTTTTGAATTTTCTAAGAGTAAAGCAGAATTTCATGTCATCAATACATTTATTACCATAAAAATGTCAGTATTTTGATCAAAGAGAATGGTTAATACATCTTTATCATCAATTTCATTTGGAATATTTTTAATAAGTAGAGCAGGATTTTTCTGTCTTGGAAGAGAAGAAATTAGTTCAGGTTTGTTCTTGATTTCATCTTTTAGTTTATCACGATCAGTTGACGAAGAGCATTTCACTAAAATTCTGTTATTAGAGATCGTCCTAATATTTTTTATACCTAATTTCTTTTCTGTGGGATTAATTTTTTTCTTCAAAATTTTTTTATCATCAAGAGACGTAAAGTTTTCTGATCCAGCAGCTCCGAAACAAGCAAATTACCCAGTCATTTGACTGTTTGTTTACGCTTTCTCCCCGGTTATACCACCTCAGCATAAGCAGGTCTCATAACAGAGGTTTTCAAACTTGCCGCGTACGCTTCGTGATAATTAGCAGATTGTAATCTTTCAAAATTTTAATTATAAGAGATTTTAACTCACCCAAAGCATTCCTAAGATGTTCACGCAGCTCACCGTTCATATTACATTTAGATGCAAGTGCTGTGTTGATAGTATCATAATGTTTTTCAAGAGACGTGTAAAACGCGTCAAGCTCTTTATCCGCCATCTTGAACCTTCTAATCGTACGATTATGTTAGATAAAATACTATATAGGAAAACTGATAGCACTGTGAAACTATGTGGCTATATACCAGACCGTATTCACGAATCTGCAATTTTTCCTGTCGTCACTAACTTTCACAGA